TAGTTTTTTGAAAAAATACTTTTTCATCATTGCCTTTTCAATATCTTTGATGTTTTCTTTATCTTTATTATTTAAACTAACTAGAGTAACGATGAGTGGCAGGCAGTAACCACCACCATCCTTAAAACACTTACCCATCATTCCTCATTTCATTTTCTTGTCTTATTTTTTTGTTTTTTGATGACATTTTTAAAAAAAATTAAGAAAAGAAGTTTGTTGTTTAATCAATGTGTACACTAATTATTTATCCTATTGGTTTTTTTTTAGTAGGACAGATGTGAATTGGGAGGGGGGGTTTTGGAAAAACAATTTATTTTTTGACAGTGTCCAAGATGACAGAACATGAGTGTTGTTGTTTGGTTTGGTTTGGGTCTCCTAAAGAAACGTGTTAATAACTAACCAGAGATGCTATTTTTTATTTGTATTGATTGATATGTTTCTCAACCTTGGTTGAGGGGATTTTGAGAAACTTCATTGCCAAGCTTGTCAGGAGGAGCATGTGTTATGTCCGGAGTTGTGTTTACCAGTTGCCCGGAATATATTTGGTTGCCACTTGTTTAAGGAGTTTAAGCCAGTTGATAGAGAAGTAGTGCCACCGAATAAGCCTTATGATAGGGCTAATTGCTATTTGTGTGGTAAGGAGCTAGCAGGGGCAAGTAAGAAAGGAGTAGTGAAGAACCAGAATAATCCTAGTTTTTGAGGAATTAAGAGTGCGTGGAAAATTCTTTGTCTGAAATGCTTGGGTAGGAAGTATTATCAGAGTATGAGTAAGGGGAAGCAGAGGACTTTTAATAAGTATTTGAGGAGGGGGTATGTTTAGCTTTCAAAGTGGCTAGTTAGGGGGTAACGGTCTTTTTTTTATACTGAACGACCGCTTGAAGCCAACTAGCCAAGTTCAAAACTAACAAATGGCAGAAAAGCTAATTAGACGAGGAGATATTTATTGAGTAGACTTACCGGACAGTAATGGACGAGAAATTAAGGATACTCACCCTGCTTTGGTAGTTTCAAACGATAGGCAAAATAACGCTAGCCCTTTAATAGTTATCATGCCAATTACTTCCTTAAAAGCCGGTGATAAAGCTTTTTCTTTTCAAGTGCCAATTACTTTAAAGAATAAGAGTGTGATACTGGTAGACCAAATCAGAACCATTGACCGAGATAAGTTTAAAGATAAAATTACCAAAGTTGAGGAGAAATTAATAGAGGAAGTGGAAAGGAAAATCCATTTTGTTTTAGCTTTAAAAAATTAAGCACTGAATAACGCCATTTTTACCCCCCCCAAACCCTTAGCAAATTTTACTAACTTATTCAAAGAATAAAACTAAATAAGAAATAATTGTTAGATAATGGGCTTTTTCTTATTAAGCACTCAACCAATCCCTTATCAAAATATCCAGTAGCTCAGCAGGTTTTTTAAGCAAAAAAAAAAAAAAAAAAAACTAAAAAAAAAAAAAAAAAAAAATATTATTTTTTTTTTTTGTAAAAAATGATGTGGGCGGCATTGTAATCCACTCTAGCGGTTGTTTTAAATATTG